GGGGGGGGGGATATAAGGAGGTTTGACTCTGTGTGTGTGTGTGTGTGTATGTATATGATACTAGCTGGGCCACCTTTCGATGAAAGGAATGATCGGTGCATTAACATCAACTGAAAATCATTGGTAAAAAAAACAACAACATGAGGCGAGATGTATACGGGTCGCACACTTAAAATAATGCTCAGTATTGTGCGACAATGCACGATAGCATCGAACGGAAGTACTACTTGGAATAAACAAACCTGGCGGATTTTCTAAAATTACAGAGACAGAAGCGTCGGCCTACAAAAGCGATTGGCGAAATAAAGAAATTTAGCTTTTTGCAGCAAAACTGTCTCAAAACTGAAAAAACGAAGGGCATCATGATATGGAGAATTATATTTTAAAGAATCTTTTTGTGAAAAGCGCATGTCGATCGATGCAGACATTAAAAAGCCTTATGAATAGCAAAATTCGGCTGCCACAAATAGATAATAGATAAGGTAATACTTTTTATTGCTCCTGAAGGAAATTTTTCTTGGCTGTACAGGAACGGAAAAAGGCATGCAGGTACATAAAAATTTAAATTTGATATATTTCTCTAAAGAAAAGTAATGTCGACAAATGTACATATCACATGCATGAATATAAATACAAGACCTTTACAGTTATGATACATACTTGAAAAAGCAATACACATTGATGTTGATTCTGACAGTAGCCTTATTTATACTAGATGGAAAAAAACACTTTTTTGGGGGTATTTTTCTTTCTTTGGGGTTAGATGCAAAAATATCTTTTAATTTCACCCTGCAATTCCCAGCCCAGTAGCAAATAAATACAAAAACGCTTTCAATCATAGAGTGGTATAAAAGGGACATAAATCTTATTATCAACACGAAAACTTCTTAATTTCCTTGAAATTAAAAGGAACATATATTTTTATGTCACGCTCCAGAATGTTGTAGTCGTAGTGAGTCGTGTCTCTACGCCACACACGGACACAGCCATTCGCTGGATCCACGCAGAACCTGCTTTTATCACTGAAGAGGACTCTCCTCTACTGTGTGTTCCACCAGTTGACATGCACCTGCGCCCACTGTAGCCGTTGCTGTGGATGCCTTGGTGTTAGGACAGCTCCCTGGTAAGGACGCCTGCAGTGAAGACCAGCAGTCACTAACCTCCGTGGCACGGTCCAGCGGCTAAGTTGGCTTCCAGTCGTTCCCATGGTTGTTCTGGCAGTCTCTGCAGCCGGCAGAAGTGGATTGCGACGGTACCGCCGAACGATGACACGATCATGGGCCGGAGTTGTCGCCCTTGGTCTTCTGCTTCTTGTTCGATCTGCTGTGGTCGCTGTCGCTTGTAATCGGTTCCGAAGGTGATGAATGGTGCTTGGGTGGACTCCAAAAACCTGGGACACCTGGACAGCTCTTTCTCTGTTTTCCCATGATAACCTTGATTGTCTGTAGCTCGTCTATTTCGATATGAATGCAACATTTCAAGGCACGGATTTTATGGACATACGCCCAGAACTGAGTGAGCATGAACTCACCACTGACAAGTTGCAAGTGTGTCTCAGTGGTGAGTGATGACTCGTGAGTTGTGTATTGCTTACGCAGCCAATGACATCTTTGTGACGCTCAAAAATGCCCAATCAAGACGCTTGAGGCAAGTGTTGAGTGATATGAGTTCACATCACACAACTATGAATTCAGCATTGGGCGATTACAACAACATAAACAATTGGCGTTTTTTTTGCATCTCACTATATATATAGCTTTTGCATCATTTCCTGGATTTGTTGTTGGCGTTGGTCGTCATTGTTGTTGGTCGTCATTGGTCGTCATTGTTGTATGGCAAAATTGGAGGTTTTCAAGGGAAGCAAAACAAACTTTTCTTTTTGTGTAGAACATTGTTGGACCAGATGGTGACATTGTTGGACCAGATGGTGACATTGTTGGACCAGATGGTGACATTGTTGGACCAGATGGTGACATTGTTGGACCAGATGGTGACATTGTTGGACCAGATGGTGACATTGTTGGACCAGATGGTGACATTGTTGGACCAGATGGTGACATTGTTGGACCAGATGGTGAATTTGTCCAAATCTGTTGCTATTTTGTTGGTGTGCCTCGTCTAACTCCACAACCTACTGGATTTTCTTTTTTTTTCTTCTAAATTTTACCATATTACAATATGTTTAACAACGCTGGCAATTTAGTTGTGCTAGTTTGGACACTTTGTTATACCCAGCTCTCCACTAGCCTCATGAACAAGTATCTTCTGTACCCAACTCTTCATTAACCTCATGAACAAGTATCTTCTGTACCCAACTCTTCATTAACCTCATGAACAAGTATCTTCTGTACCCAACTCTTCATTAACCTCATGAACAAGTATCTTATGTACCCAACTCTCCACTAGCCTCATGAACAAGTATCTTCTGTACCCAACTCTTCATTAACCTCATGAACAAGTATCTTCTGTACCCAACTCTTCATTAACCTCATGAACAAGTATCTTCTGTACCCAACTCTTCATTAACCTCATGAACAAGTTTCTTCTGTACCCAACTCTTCATTAACCTCATGAACAAGTATCTTCTGTACCCAGCTCTCCACTAGCCTCATGAACAAGTATCTTCTGTACCCAACTCTCCACTAGCCTCATGAACAAGTATCTTCTGTACCCAACTCTTCATTAACCTCATGAACAAGTATCTTCTGTACCCAACTCTTCATTAACCTCATGAACAAGTATCTTCTGTACCCAACTCTTCATTAACCTCATGAACAAGTATCTTCTGTACCCAACTCTTCATTAACCTCATGAACAAGTAATGGTGGTAGAAAAACTCACAAAGTTGTTTTTTTTCTGCTTCTTATGTGTTGTTTTCTCCCTAACAGTAATGTACATCCTCCAGTTTAACCTTGTTGTCGTAGCCATGTGCTATCTGAAGCTTCCAGGTCTCGGTGTACAAAGTGTACAACGTATACAAAGTGTACAGAGTGTACAAAGTGTACAACGTATACAAAGTGTACAACGTATACAAAGTGTACAACGTATACAAAGTGTACAGAGTGTACAAAGTGTACAACGTATACAAAGTGTACAACGTATACAAAGTGTACAACGTATACAAAGTGTACAGAGTGTACAAAGTGTACAGAATACAAAATATACAAAGTGTACAACGTATACAAAGTGTACAACGTATACAAAGTGTACAGAGTGTACAAAGTGTACAGAATACAAAATATACAAAGTGTACAAATTACGTGAAGTATACAGTGTACAAATTGTGCAAAGTATGCTGTGTACAAAATGCACAAATTGTACAAAGTATACAGAGTGTACACAATGTTTAAAGTGTACAAATATAATTTACAAAGTATACAGTGTGCAAAGTATTCAGTGTACAAAATGCACGAAGTGCCTACTGTTGTAAGACAAGAGACTTTACTTCCTCTAGAACGAGCCTGTAGAAATCTCGCTAGGCTGACTGCCTGAACATTCGAGAGATGTCGCAAGAGTTTGGTGACAAGAAACGCCATAAACAGACAGTTTTAAATGGATTTGAAAAATAAAACCCCTAAACTTACATACATTTAAGAAGGCCCACCATAATTCTACATCTCATCATAGTCTCTGTGAACATTTCTTTTTCTAACGGCTCACCTTGAACATTGACCTTTGTGGGGGAACCTTCCAAAGACTGCAAGGAAAGTGATGACTTGTCTTTATTGTGAGCAAAGACAGCAAGAAAAATGATAATATAATTTATCTTTATTGTGAGCAAAGACAGCAAGAAAAATGATAATATAATTTATCTTTATTGTGAACAAAGACTGCAAGAAAAGTGATAACTTGTCTTTATTGTGAGCAAAGACTGCAAGAATAGTGATAGTCTTTGCAAGAAAAGTGATCACTTGTCTTTATTGTGAGCATTTCCACGTGACTTTTGGGACATCTCTCGTACATTTAGTTTATTCAGCGTGTTGCCTTTGATCTGTCACTGTTTAGGTTTCCCTTTGGTTTTCCTTTTTGACTAACATTTTTGTTTTGACTCATTTGCTCGTGTGTGTGTGTGTGTGTGTGTGTGTGTGTATGTGTGTGTGTGTGTGTGTGTGTGAGTGTGTGTGTGTGTGTGTGTGTGTGTGTGTGTGTGTGTGTGTGTGAGAAGAGAGAGAGAGAGACAGACAGTCTCCCACTGTTTTTTCTTTGAGTCTCCCACTGTCTTTGTGCTGGGTTGTTTCAGTTTTAATAGCTGCAGATGGCTGTTTTCTGTTAGAATTGCCTGGTAAACATTTAGTTAACTTTGCGGGTTTTACAAAAAAATTTTAATTTTTGTTATTGATATAATATATAGGCTGACAATAAAAGCTCTTTGCCACTTATCAAATTATGTGAATATGCTTGTTCTTTTTTTGTATTCCCCTTGTGTCCCCCACAGACAGTCACTTACCTCCCCTTGTGTCCCCCACAGACAGTCACTTACCTCCCCTTGTGTGCCTTGTGTCCCCCACAATCACTTACCTCCCCTTGTGTCCCCCACAGACAGTCACTTACTCCCCTTGTGTCCCCCACAGACAGTCACTTATCTCCCCTTGTGTCCCCCACAGACAGTCACTTACCTCCCCTTGTGTCCCCCACAGGCTGTGTCCCAACATGAGGATGCCCCGCCCAGACCTCGACAGATGTGGGTGGCAGATGGGGAGCAGACCCCGCCCCCTCCACCCCCCGCGCCCCGCCCCGCCGACCGTCAGCCGCCCAAACGACGGACCACAGTCATGGGCATCACCTCCCCTGAGGACATGGACACTTCCGGTTAGTTTATACCTCTCTACACTACCATCTCTCTCTCCATGGACACTTTGTGTTAGTTTATACCCCTGTACACTACAATCTCCCCCACCAGTCCCCAATTTTTGTACTAAATCAACAATTTTTCCTTGTCCATTGTGAATGCCAGCAACTGTAATGTCACACAGCAAACATCTTTTTTGGTCCCTTTTGGAAGTTATGATGGATGTTGGCACAGCGGCCTCTCTGGTGTCCCGGTCAAGCACTTAGTCCTGGCACACACTCACAACTGGAGTTTGATTGTCCTTGGGGGGGGGGGGAGGAGTTTTCTCCAGCTTCTGGCTCTCTCTGCCAGGACCTTGTATCCCTCTGTCCGGAGTGTCCCCAACTGGCAGGGTGAAAGCTGCCCAAAAAACACTTGGCAAGGCAAAACTCATTCATATGTATCTGTATCATTTGGCCAAGGAGGACAATACAAAGGGAGAAAGAGTGGAGGGGGTGGAGTGGTGGGAGAGAGTATCATTATTGATAGGGAAGCATTAACTCCCAGCTGTTCATGCAGTACTAAATAGTATAGATATATACCATGGCCTGTGGTGTGGTATTTCGCACGTAAAATACGTTTACTTTTATAAAGAAAGGTTTTGTAAGGTATTTTTATCAAATGAAAATGACTAAAAAGACTAAAAAATATAAAATAGATATTAAAATTGATGGTTTTATTATAAAACTCTCGCTTTGAAATGTCCAGTTTTGAGGGCAATAACCGAAAATTTGTAGAATGCACAAGAACAAGAACTGCCCTCGTTTCTTTTCTTTTTTTTTCTTCAACAGAATGAAGTGTCTTTGACACATTACATGCAGAATTGAATGTACCTTCTCATCAGACTAATGTAAACTCTAAATTGTAAAAAAATGTTTCTCTTCTTTTAGTTGTTGGTTCCGTCGGATTTCTGTTTCTGCATCTATTTTTTGTAACACGTTAAATATGTCACGCCTCAAGAAAGCTTGACAAGTATGAAATCTTTTGGCTTGGTCTGATAGACTCTAATTCCCTTTCTATTGGTATATGATATGTCGATCGGGAACAGATAGATTATTGCAGGAGGCTTGAGAGCAAAATGTCATGATATGAAATGTCCAGATTCAAGGGCAAAAACTAGGAATTGTTGGATGGACTAGAATGGCTCTCATTTCTCTATTTTCTGACAGAATGGTGTATCTTTGACACATAATATGCAGAACTGAATGCATGTTTCCATGAAATAATTGTAAACTCTTTAATTCTCAAACACGTTTTCCCCTTCTTTGTGACTGTTAGAAAAGTGTGATTTCTGCTTTTGTTTCTATTTTTAGTAATAAGAAAAAAAAGGTCCCACTTCAAGACAGCTTGACAAAACTTAAATTTACTGGCTAGGTCTGAAAGACCATTCAATTCCCTTCCCATTGATAAATAATATCCAGATAGACAGATTATTGCATGAGGCTTGAAGGTATGGAAGACCCCTGAAACATAAATAAAAAAGCCAAAATAGGCCAAACTACTGGGAGTTTAAAACCGAAATGCCTCCTCTGTGAAAAACGGAAATGGCTCCCCTGTGAAAAACAGAAATGGCTCCCCTGTGAAAAACGGAAATGGCTCCCCTGTGAATGCACCGGGAAGGGTGTTCAATATAGGTAATGAGGACACGCCACAGAGAGCAGCCCGGAAATGGACACACTTCGGAGTACAGACAGGTTTCGGAGTCTAGACTAATCACTAGGCATGGGATGCCACAATATTTATTCACACCTTGGGATCTCACACGCTGTAGACCTACCCTGTAGACCTACCCTGTAGATCTGAGTGTCAGACCTCCCAATAGTAAAGACGTACAGTAGATCTGTCAGACCTCCCAATAGAAAAGACGTACAGTAGATCTGTCAGACCTCACAATAGAAAAGACGTACAGTAGATCTGTCAGACCTCACAATTCAAAACACGGGCGCCGCTAACATTTAGGTCATTGGGCTGACACCTGGCCACGCTAGATAGTCTGGCAGGCCGAGTTGGCACCGTTCATTTGAAGTTTCTCTAGGCGACTTAAAAACTTCATTTTGATTGTTAAAAAAATCCATATTAGCCAAAACCCTGAAATAGTCACATTTTTCCAACTGAAGGAAAACCAGGAGAAAATGGACAAGTGCTAGAAATAGGCCAGGCTCGCAGAGAATGTATGGGGGAAGAGATTATCAGGCAGCCACTGTGTTGGTGCTGTGCGCTGTGTGTAGCGTGTACCCGTGCTCTGTCTGTAGTGTGTACCCGTGCTCTGTGTGTAGTGTGTACCCATGTGCTGTGTGTAGTGTGTACCCGAGCGCTGTCTGTAGTGTGTACCCATGTGCTGTGTGTAGTATGTACCCATGCTCTGTCTGTAGTATGTACCCATGCTCTGTCTGTAGTGTGTACCCATGCTCTGTGTGTAGTGTGTACCCATGCTCTGTCTGTAGTATGTACCCGTGCTCTGTCAGTAGTATGTACCCCTGCTCTGTCTGTAGTATGTACCCGTGCGCTGTATGTAGTGTGTACCCGTGCTCTGTATGTAGTGTGTACCCGTGCGCTGTATTTAGTGTGTACCCATGCGCTGTATGTATTGTGTACTCGTGCGCTGTATGTATTGTGTACCTGTGCGCTGTATGTATTGTGTACCCGTGCGCTGTATGTAGTGTGTACCCGTGCGCTGTATGTAGTGTGTACCCATGCGCTGTATGTATTGTGTACCCGTGCGCTGTATGTATTGTGTACCCGTGCGCTGTATGTAGTGTGTACCCGTGCGCTGTATGTAGTGTGTACCCGTGCGCTGTATGTATTGTGTGTACCCGTGCGCTGTATGTAGTGTGTACCCGTGCGCTGTATGTATTGTGTACCCGTGCGCTGTATGTAGTGTGTACTAGGCCGGGGCAAGATCGGCGGCAAAAAGACTCGAGGCCTCGATTCCAAAGCAGAAAAAGAATAGAGGAATCGAGTCCGAGTTTCGAGTTTGGAAGCTGGTTCAAGTGGGCCTGGCTGTTTGGAGGCCATAACTTGAACACTGCTAAAAATAGTTTTTAAACTCGAGGCTTGAGTCTCGAGTTTGACAGACATGGCTGGCTAAGCCCTCGCGCGTGCCGAGACAAGTTGACTTTCACGCATTTGTGTGTGTGTGTGTGTGTGTGTGTGTGTGTGTGTGTGTGTGTGTGTGTGTGTGTGTGTGTGTGTGTGTGTGTGTGTGTGTGTGTGTGTGTGTGTGGAGTTGAGTGTTGTAGGTAGGCTTGTAGGGTTGCGTCCCTTCTATCACACTTGCCAATGAAGGTGTGTATATGTATGTGTGTGTGTGTGTGTGTGTGTGTGTGTTTTTGTGTATGTGTGTGTGTGTGTGTGTGTGTGTGTGTGTGTGTGTGTGTGTGTGTGTGTTGCCTCCCTTCTATCACTCTTGCCAATGCGTGGGGCTCAGGCTTCTTCTCTCTTGCACCCTTTGCTTCCTGATATGTCAAAGCATGCTTTGATGACAAATGTTTTGTTATTGTCGACGTTGTGTTGTTGTATGCCAAAACAGTTTTACAAATCATACAAACAACTTTGTTTTTCTGCTTATAAGTGGGTGGTTGGCGGGTGCTCTGGTGTGGTTTGCTCCTTCTTTCCCATCTAACTTCCATCGTCTTTTTCTCCTCTTCGTCTTTTTTATGTTTGTTACTCTCTTCTAACACCTCTAATCTGCTGGCGCTCATATGACCTTATGCAGTTGCGAGCGCCGTGAAACCTCTACTAAAACTAAACTGAACTGCTTATAAAAAAAAGTCCTGGGCTAGAGATCGACGTCGAGACATGACTCATTGATATCAACTCAAAACACACAATATGATTTACAAAAGAATACGTGTACAGTGAAAATGAAAGTGCAGTGAAATTCCAAAGCAAGCGTTCAGTGTTCAAGACAAAAGAAAGAGGAAAAGGAAGTGAATGATTTAATTTGGGATGGGCGGGGGTGGGGCAACAAGATTCCAAGTACATGGAGCAGTTGCCTATGTGCGGCGTGGTACTGGGCTACACGGTAGACACGACAAGTAGGCCTAGGCCTAGTTTACCATTCACTCATAGCGGGGAAGAGGAAGGTGGGGTAGGGTGGGGGGTTGCGTGAGACAATTGATAGTGACTGACTGGCTGTTTCTTGCCCCTATCTCACTAGGCCTATGACAGTTCGTCCCAGGACGGACCCGTCTGACGTTTGAAACCTTTGAACTGGAGAGTGTGATGTACCGCACCACCGCACCTATTATTGAGACAGGACATTTTTGTTGCATTGAGTCCCCAGCAGTTGTGAATTGCTACAACATTGGTGGGACAGGATGACCTAATACTGTTTTCTCTTTCTCTTTTTTCTAATACGAAGCAACAGAGCACAGGCACATGCAACCTCGATTCATCTACCTTGAAGACACAGTCTTGAATCTACATGTATCAAGGCCTAGTGCACGCCAAATTCAAATAGTGAAAAGAAACCCAAAACATAAGTAAACAAAACTCACAAAAAATAATTTAATTTGGTAATCGGGCATTAAATTCCCCACGTAATTTTTTGCTGATTTTGGGTTGCGGATCACGAAAATCTTATTATTTCTTAAATTTGGCCAATATTTACGAAATGTTTGAAATGCATTTTAAACTCCGCCTAGGCCAACATCAAAGAAGCCGCCTTATGCGCCGGATCAGTCCTGTCCTTGTGCGGTGTCTGTTTTGAAGTGAAAAACTCGACTGTGGGACAGGACAACCCTAGGTCTGTCCCACGACAGGACTGTACTAGTGGGGTAGAGATTTAGATCCTTGCCTCCATTCTCGGAGTCTAGGTTTGGAACCAGGCTAAAAAAAAGGAGACAGGAAGCATTGACCCTGGGCGGACTTGAAGCTTTGAGTCTGTGAACGAGATCGATTCTTTGAGTCCTCATTTGGACTCGAAAGAATCGATCCCAGAGTTGATCTTGCCCTGGCCTAGTGTGTACCCGTGCGGTGTG